CTCAAAACATGCCCTGATGCTGGTGAACTCAGAGCTCACGAAGCTCTACTCATACGACAGCATCGCAGTCGGCTGAATGCACCTTGGGTTCACCAGGAGCTCAAGAAATTAGGTTTTTCCGTAAAACCTATACTACATCACAATACTACCACGGGAGCTCCCGGCCGACGATTGCATCGACGGCGTCGGGGCACAGCTCGACGACTGCATCTGGACTTGGCTGCAGTTGATCTGCAGGAAGCGTCCACACACCTTCAACTGCTATCACAACTTGGCAGCAATTCAGTACAGAAGTTCACTGTGTCCAGGTTTTTGCGATCCCAACATGTTCCATTGTCCTTTCTGTATTATTTGGTTCGACTTACACCTATGCTGGATTCCCTGGAAAGAGCAAGAGCCACCACATTGCTGACCTCCGCCCTTAGGTTTCGAGGTGGAGATATACCGCCTATGAATCGCATGTTAAAGGTTCTGCAAGGACCTGGCAATTTCTTACAAGCAGCTAGGTCGTGGATCAAGAGCTTCGTGGAGCACAATTCCCTATGGTTCCCACCGTACCACTTACCCAAGGTCAAGATGGTGGAAGTTCAAAACCGAACATTGGGTCAGGTGCTCTTCAATCATCGAAAGTTCATCAAGGATTGGACACATGCGAAGTCACCAGCGTGTGCGTGTCACCATGCCAAGGATTTGCCACGCACGAAATGGGGTCATATCTTTTGTTCAGCCACAGATGCCGTCACGCTGTATCCGAATTTGTTTCACAGTGTTCTTACCCATTCCATGACTGATACAGTTTGGGCGTCCGAACAGCAATTCCTCAGACACCACCATCGAGAATTCACAAAATTTGCCAGTGCTTGGAAATTGCCAAAGTCGGCTGTTGAACAGTGGGATGAGTTCGTTAGTCAGCATTGGACAAGCTTTCAGCGCGCAGAAGATGAATCTGTCCAGGCGATCAAAGCAGCCAGTCATTGTATACGACATTGGGTCACCTTGCCAGTGGACCATTTCCCTACGCAGTTGCATATAGCATGTCCCGTGCAGTTTCACCTATTACTGATTGGCACATTCTTCGATGGCACCATCTTTCGCCCGCTACCTCAATCA